AGTTAATCCCGCCCTGCATGCCCTGGGGTAAAGAGGATAATTCTTCCATCCTCATAGAGGACTAAACGAGTCAGGTGTAGATTGACTACAAGTGCTGCCAAGTGCAGCGGGGCTGCCGTAACGTTGCGCTTAGAGAAAGCGTAACTTAGGTCACCGACCTTTCGTTCTATATTAGAACAAGTACAAATTAGCAGATCGCAATCCGCTTACTCCAAGAGTAATTACTGCCTTAACCCAAGGCTAATTACTCTTCCGTTCAAAATCCAAATTTATTTGCGGCAAAGCCGCCTAATTTTAAATTTTTGGATTCTCCTAAATATATATAGTAAAATCTGAATACATGCATAACTACTGGCTACCTAGCCACATACCGTATTCTTGTGTGGGTGCAGTCACACCATGCCCATCTCGTGTGACACACACACCTGAAACCAGGGTACGTGTAACCCCGTTACAGTTACCGTGCATAGAACTAGGGGTGTAATTGCACCTATCTCGAAGACTCGCCGAGCCATGCGTTATGGTAAAAGGACGAACACATTTGATGCAAAGATGATTTCCGAAGCCAGTACTGTAGATTACAAAGTGTGAAAAATACTTCCAAGCGTAGTGGATGCTCGTTAAGCGTTCACCCTGCCGCGATTTCTTGGCAAGACAATCTCCAGTATGGACCTTTTGTAGCATGAATACGTACTATGTGTCCGTACAATTTTCACGTTTGTATAATTGTATAAATGCAAAATGTTGAATCCACCATAGAATTTCGGGTAATCCTGAAGCTTTACGTAACGAAGTTTACATATTTCTTAAGATGACGTGATTCTGTAAATGAGAGGTCCAAGGTACACATCCTTCAAGCAATAAAGCTAGTTCTTTCACTGAAAAGTGAAGTCTATATTAGTACTGTCTGATCTTCGATGTGCGTCGCAGAGATAGATGAGCAAACAAAGTAATTATCTACTTCCTCTGTCCGAAAATATAAGCGGTGCTGCGGGGATTGACCAATATTAAGCTC